TGTATAGATTTTCGCCATATTAACAAATTGACCCCAAATGACAGCTTTCCCATGCCGCGAATCCAGGATATTTTAAGACGCCTTGCCGACGCTAAATACCTTAGCACTATGGATGCAGAAAAAGGTTATTGGCAAATTGCAATGGATGAAAAGTCTAAAAAATATACTGCATTCTGTACAGAGCGGGGATTGTTCGAGTTTAATTGTATGGCCTTCGGACTGAAAAATGCGGGTGCTACTTACCAACGCATGATGAACGAAGTGTTAGAAGGTCTTACTAATTTTTGCCTTGTTTATTTAGATGACGTGATCGTATTTAGCAAAACTTTTGGCGATCACAAGCGTCATCTGGAGATCGTCTTCAAGAGGTTCCGGGACGCCGGCCTCACTCTGAAGCGCTCCAAATGTTTTTTTGGCAAATCTCTGGTGGAATTCGTGGGTCACACGGTCTCGAAAGATGGGATTGGAATGAAGGCGGACGCGGTGAAAGCCATAAAAGCCATCACTTCCGATCAAATCAAGACTCGTAAACATCTAAAAGGATTCCTTGGCATGATTGGGTGGTACCGACAATTTATTGAACGCTTCGCCGACATCGCAGAGCCCTTAAATGAGCTGACGTCGCCGAAACGTAAGTTTAAATGGTCCCCCAAAGCCTTGCAATCCTTTGAAAATTTAAAATCCGCCGTAATTTCTGATTTGATACTCGCTCATCCCATTTTTGGCAAACCCTTCATCGTCCGGACCGATGCAAGTAAAACTGGTTTGGGAGCAGTATTATCACAAATCAATGACGCCGGGGAGGAGAAAGTAATTTCCTTTGCAAGTAAGTCTCTCAACCCTGCACAAAGAAATTACGCCATCCCCGAGCTTGAATGTTTAGCAGTGATCTGGGGGTTGGAGAAGTTTCGTGAGTATCTTGACGGACATGAATTCATCTTACAGACTGATAATTCTGCCCTCGTCTATCTAGATACCATGAAGAACGCGAACCAACGCCTCATGAGATGGTCATGGAAACTCCAAGAGTGGTCCCCTTACATTCAATACATAATGGGGCGCGACAACGTCGTGGCAGACTTTTTCTCTCGCCATTCAAATCCTGACCATACTCCAGTGGAGAGAGAGGGAGATTATATGTATCCTCCCCAATCTTGTAAACTTTCCCTTACTTGTAACATAGACCGGGAAATAATTCTCAAGCATCAACTTCAGTCGAAGAAGGAGATGAATGACAATTATTCTGGTCCTGATTTTTCAATAATTAATGGGGTGATTTATAAATGTTCTGGAAATAAGACGCTTCCCGTCATTCCCTCCTCTCTCCTCCCTAAATTTCTTAAAGAGTTTCACGACGTGGCGCATAGTGGTCACTTGGGCGTCGACAAAACGAAAGGTAAAATCTTGTCACGTGCATATTTTAATAACATGCACAAAAATATAGCCGAATATGTACGTAGTTGCGATATTTGCCAGCGTGTTAAAATCTCGAATCAAAAACCACCTGGTCTGATGCAACCTTCTCTTACAGAATCACCGTGGGAGACACTGTACACTGACCTCATGGGGCCATATGTAAAGTCTCACCCAGGGGGATACACGTACATACTCGTGGTCATCGACGGTTTCAGCAAATGGACCGAAATCTATCCTCTGCGCAATGCCACAGCAGTAGCAGTGGGCAAAATATTGGAGGAAAGATTGTTCTGTCACTTTGGCATGCCAAAGAATTTAGTGAGTGATAATGGAACATCTTTCACTGCAAATATTATCTCTTATCTTTGCAAGCAGTGGAAAGTTAATCTTAGATTCACAGCCCCTTATCATCCTCAATCCAACTTGACGGAGAGGGAAAACCGTACTATCAAAACAATGATAAGAGGATATTTAGACGGCCAGGCACACAAAAACTGGCCTAAATATTTGCCATTTTTTCAATTTGCTATTAATTACTATTTGCTATTAACTTAATCTACTGGTTTCTCACCCTCCAAAATAGTCTTAAATCGTGAGCTTTCTGTCCCTTTCGAAATTTCAACACAATTTTCCGAAGCAGAAATTAAGTCCCTCAAACAAACGGTAGAAAAGCCGCAGAGAGACATTATTTTTGATAGGGCTCAGGAATACTCTAACATTGTTTCTCTAGTTTCAGCAAATCTTGATAATGCTAAAGCTGCGCAGAAACGAGCCTATGACCAGAGACACCTACAAGACGAGTTCAAATTGGGGGACGCGGTCGTCATCCAAACCACCACCAGATCCGATAAAGAGAAAGGGGTCGTGGCTGGTCTTTGCCCTCTCTACCGCGCGGACGTTGGACAGATCCACGAAGTTCTCTCCGACCTAAACTACAAAGTAATTTTCGAGGATGGCACAATTCTGGGACCGATTCACATTCAGAGGTTGCGACGGTATACGCATCGCCAAGCGGATCCCACGCCTCCTCAAACTTCACCTCCTCCACCACCGACACCGTCTAGTTCGTCATCACCTCCACCGACACTGTCTCGTTGGTCCTCTTCACCAATTATCGTACACGAGTCTCCTCCTCAATTGAGTAGTGAAACAGTATCAACCACAACTTCTAATAATAATAATTCTAATATGCATGATAATTTTGGAAGTAATAGTTCTAATAATAATTTTTATGACACAGGTGCCCTTGACACCAGTTTCCCCTCTTCTTCTCACTCTACTCCCCCTCCACCGACACAACGTGGGACACAATCTCAGCGAAACGCCGATCAAGATTCTCGTCCTGCACCGCGTCGCAGCGCAAGAGTAAACAACAGACCCACCACTTTATATAAAACTACGCGCATTTACAAGCGTAGTGTGTAGTAATTTTTCTGAGCAACCCTGTAATCCTTTTCCTCTTTTCCTTCTGTCGTCAGACCGCGGTCCCCAAATGGGTACTCCAGTTCTTCGACACTCTGGTTCTTCGTTTTGTAAATATCATCAAATAATCAAGACCGAGGGCGTCACGAGTGTGATGAGCACTGCGTGGTCAAACTTGTCAAGATTAAATGTCCTCCCATCAAACCAGAGTAGTACCATTTCCTTCTCCTTAAAAAATATACTGGGTAGTCCGGGGGGAACATCAGCGGGCCGCCTGCCGTACCTGAAAAGGGAAAGTGTGGTTGGAGGTCAAGTGTCCGTTCGATGGCCGTTGGTATATGGTACAAAATTCCTCTCCTCCTAAACCTCAACCTTTCTTATGCTCAAGATATTCTCAAAAAAGTAATAGCGTTCATTCCACAATGTTTGTATTTTTCTCTCTAATTTTTTTTGAAAAATGTGGTCATGAGTCAAATTGTCTTATAATCGTGCTGTGCGTAGGTGGGGATGCAAATCTAGGAATCGCGGAAATGCTGGATGTGTCACTACGCGTCGTGTGTATAAATTCTTTATCTATTTATTTATTAGTTAAGATAATATTTAAGATTATAATTACAAATTAAGCAATCTTTACATCTTAGTATGTAACCTGGTATATATTTGGTGATACTGTATTTTCGGTACATTTGTATTTCACTCAATTACAATAATTTATGATTTTCCAACGTTAAACAATTTCCAATATGTATAAGTTTTCTCCTAGTCAAGAAATGTAATACATACATATTTAGTTCAACATATTTACAGTCAAGTCTTCATATGTACAAGTTTCCACAAAGTCGAATACTTTCTACATAAATACTTATAACTAGATTTAAAGTAAATTTTATATGTACAATTGTCCTTAAGGTTCAAACTTATCGTACATATATTTAGTAATAATTATTTAGACATACTTAGATTTAAATTAGGTTAAATATAATTTAATTTTTTCTTTTAATTTAAATTTTTTAGTATGTAAGATTAGGGTCATTTCCTACTCTTTGTTCCGTTATGACCCCTTAAGCCCCGGAGTGTAACCTGATACCATTGTCTGATCAACAATGATATCAAGTGGCAACTGGAGGACTGGAGGTCGCCCCGACTCTACTTCAGAGCCCTTTTCGCCCTCTGCCTTTTTTTCTTTGAACTACTGAAAAGCATGTCTCAGTACTTTCCAGCTCTTCTCTCCAGAAGAGAAAATAATTCAGTCTAATCTCTCTTAGTAGTAACATCGTACATTTTTGTAGGATAATTAATTTCAATTTATTTAATTAAATAAATAGTTAAAATATTATTTAAAACTTATCCTACAGTAGTACGAGAGCTATTCTTCAATTTTTTTTTCACGGTTCATCACTGTTCACCCTCAAGAACACGGGATAATAATAGTCAGGTCAGAGTTAAAGTTAGGGCGACGGATTAGGTATCTTTCCATCGGCACACCCTCTTCATCTCTATCCTACGCAATTCGTTACAATATTAATCATTTGCGTCGCAGGTTTCACAGAATGATCTAAAGTCCAGAAAAACATGTCATTCGTAGAGCGTGAGAATGCAGTTAGATTACAAAATTAATTCAGGATAACGTCAATCAATCTGAATATTATGAGCAATAAGGAATGTCAATGCCAGTTATGGTTTGGATGAGTGAAGTAAGAACAAATCACGCCATTGTTCATTTTGAGATTACCAATTTCACAGAAATTTTGCTTGGATTATGTATGCACCTGATTATGTACGCAGTTTCAGAACCGATAGTGAAATCAAAACACGATCTACTTATATTAAATAGCAAGTATACTCATACATAGTAATTTTTGCAGGGAATTTTACACAATAGCAGGAAATAACTAATTTTAAAACGACGTAAATAATGTGTCCAACGTCCTAATTCATATTCATGAACTCGTAATAATTTTTAGGCGTCTGGCTTGTATAATTTTTTCGTCTTAATTCATACGTCAATCATCGATGTGGGTAAGAAACTTTTCATCTGTCCCATATCATTCCGTACCATCTGAAATTATATAACTTAAATTTAATCAGCTCCAATTTATTGCAAGATCACGGCTCCTTCTTAAATAAAATGATACGAATTTTGTCCAGCAAATAGTCATTACTTCATTGTATTTCACACCAATCACAACTTATCATAAAATAGAAACAAATTTAAATCAGAAAACATAAATTTCTTGAAAAATAAATTCTACAAGTTAAATATTTCCTAAACTTTTTAACGAAGAAATAACATGTATCTAAAATTAATCGCAGTTTGCCTCCTATTCCAATTAACTTTTCGCGGTAAGACTTTCAATATTTCCTTAAAATTTTTTTTTACTATCTCCAGACTATTTTTTAAGACCATTTTTTAAACATTTCTAATTAATTCTCCTAATATTGTTTACTAATAATAGGAATTTATGCCGAGTTCTGTACTCGTGTATACGAGACGGAATGTAAAGGTTTCGACGACACCTGCCCGGCCGGATTTACCCGTGAATATTACAAAGTTTCTGGTCAAGTCGCCCAATGCCGCTGTGTGAAAGCACGAGAATATGAAGATTATTTGGCTTGTAAATGTCGCCTTGCTATGGAACCCTGTAATCCGGACGGCGGTAATGCAGCACAATATATGTGCAGGATTGCGTGGAGAGACTGCTCCGACACCGTCAAGGAAGGACTTTGTCAAGGCAACTTGACTTCCACTAAGTGGAAGAAATACTGCTGCAACGACATAGCCAGCAGATGTTCAACCTTGGTCAAAAGATCTGAAAATTTGTCCCCGCCAAATAACACGGCAGACATCGTCTCCCTCTGCGGATCACAGATAACGCAGTGCCTCAGCAATATCAGAATTAGAGGCTTCTATTGCCCCAGGCTGGCCTCAAAGTGCAATCAAGATATCCAGAATGCAATCCGTGGTGGAACTTTGTTCACAAGTCGGGATAACATTACCCAACTCTGTGGTTCCGAAGCGGCCGGATGTCTTCCAGATGATACAATTGAAAGGATTTACTGTCCCGGTTTGATTAGTCAATGTGAGAATTTAATTCAAAACAGTGGTGAAGATGTCGTCAAAAACGAGCTGGATGTCCCGCAGCTTTGCGGAGCTGAAATAACGAAGTGTCTTAGCAAAGAAGAAATTAGAAGGATCCTGTGCGAGCCTCGTATCGAAAAATGTGTGGCGTTGATTCAAAACGCTACACTTGCCGGAACCGTACTCAACAGTACGAGTCAGATAGAGCAAGTTTGCGGGACCGGGATAACGTCATGTCTGAACGAAAAGAGCCGAGATGAATTGTTTTGTGGACATTTGTTCGTGCGATGTAAGCTTACGCTGCCTGGCGTTATCTCCCTTAGTTTTTTAGGTGCGGCGAAAGATCTAAATGAAGTTTGCGGTAAAAATGTCCCCCAAAGTCTTGATTGTATTGAAAAGGGAATTTTTGGGTAGGGCTCGTCGACGGTAGGATAACAGCAGATGTTATTTTACAAAATATTTGGCAAAAGTAACCGTACGTTATTTGTGAGGTTGATAACTTTAAATTATTTCAGGGTATGTCCACTAGTATATTTATGTAGAAACATATTTGTAGTGATCTTGTATATGTATTTCATTGATTGGCAAATACATTTTAAAATTGCAAATAAAATGGCGAAGAACTCAATAGAGTTGAATTAAATATAAGAGTTTTTCCATAAATTACTTGGTAAAGTGGGGCATACCGATATCGAAGGGACTACGTAGGTGTTTGTAGAATTCTAATATTTCGGTTGCATTATTCTTCTGTTCCAAGGGTTCCGCGGCCCTTGTTAGGTAAGATAATCATTAAATCATGCGAAGGGCTGCAAAAATATTTGCAGTCCTCATGACCAATTTTGTAAGAACACACTTTTGACCGGTTGGGAACAATATATCGTCGTTCTAATTCTAAAAAGACCTATGTGCCGTCTCTTCTTAATTTTAAAAAGACCTATGTGACACATGTATTTAGTTATGGCTAAATACTGCGACCATAACTAAATACATGTGTTCTCATAGGTCTTTTTAAAATTTATTTTATGCCACATAGGTCTTTTTAAAATTAAGAAGAGAGGGCACATAGGTCTTTTTAAAATTAAGAAGCGAGGGCACATAGGTCGTTTTAGAATTAGAACGACGATATGTAGAACTACCAATGATAAGCGTTGCTCTGGGTGAGCCGTTGTGATATCGGAAAGAAGTGTATTATGATAAAGGCAGCCAACCTGATAATTGAAGATGACAATATACTTTACGAAGACTAAACAAAGTAGACGAAAATAATAGAATTCAACTATCTCGAACTACCCCAATTTTTTCCGATTCTCCTTAAACTACTACAAAATAATTAGAAATTCATTACTTGACTACTCTCCTCCAAGACTAAACGTTCACTAAATTATTCTCGTCTCTAAACCTCGTAGTAAAACATGGGTTGTGCAAAATTACTGCATAATGACACTTAAAATTACATGGCATAATGCTACATATTTCGCAATCCTACATTGTACTACATCCAATATTAGATATCAGAACAACTGAGGAATTATTCTGCAAGCTCATGAAAACTGTTCTGATTTAGGGAAGCGGAACTTTGCCAGCACACTGTATGACTGAATGTAGAGCGAATTTGTGTAATATCCCTCGAGCTGCTAAAACGAAACACTGCCTTGGATTTGTAGAAGGAATCCAAATTCGCTTTTACCTAATGATTGAATAAATAATTAACTGGTGGATGAAATTAAAGGTTCATTCGACCACTCTAAGGAAATTAAAATGTAATTGGAGAGTATTCCACGGGTATTTGTGACATACATATTTTGTGAGAGTAGGTGTGGAATGGTACGGTCTGTATTTTATTAATAGGCGTTTTTTTTGCTCAAAGTTAAATCTTTGTAGTGATCTGTTCCCAATTCGCCCCATGATATAAAATTTCAAAGACCTCTAAAATTTTGAAAATTCTCTATAAATCGATAAAAATAACTCGAATTTGAATTTTCGATGCGTGCTGCATTACAAATTCGATCACCACAAATTTCGAATTCTAAAAAAGCGCCTATTAATAATGCACAGACCATAGTGTGTGAGGGGGATAGTTGGGAATGGAAATCATAACGCGATTCTGTCGCTTTGTTGGTTTGTTTGTTTGCCCTTATTTCACGTGTCATTCATTCTACCAATACAAAATTGGACTGGTCTTCCTAGGGTGACACAACTGAGCATAATCATGATAAGTTAAAAATAGATAAATATATATATAACGTAATTAACTGAATCTAATCCTTAAAATTAACACCTTTTTTCAATCAACCATCGATTTACAGAGTTTCTGAAGCTTACATTTTTATCTTCAGTTTCGCAAAACTCTCGTGGAAGCGAGTTCCACTATTTTGACGCAGAGTAACAGTAGGAATTTTTTTTTGACAGAAGGAGCTTTATTTTTCTCTCTCTCTGGATTTCTCTTTTTCATCTTGCATTATACGCAGGGCCTAAACTAGACAAAAATTAGGGTGGGCAAATTAAGCCGTGCGCCCCAACACCACCGAAGGGAAACATATTTTGGACGACAATGAAATCAAATCGTAAATTATCAGATATTTTCGAGACAAATTTTGATAAATTATTTGAGTAGTTTGTGTTAACTTAGAAACCTGAAAAAATCACAACTTCTTAAATGTCTATAAGGTTTGTTATCATGAGAAAAATTTGGTTTGAATCAGCGTGTATCATAATTTTTGAAAATTATTATGGAATCACCCCCTCATTAATTTCATTATCAAGCGCGGTACAGTCATATATAAACACTAAACGGTAAGGATTCATTTTTATTCATTACCATACTAATTAGACTGTACTTGAAGCTAATGAATTATTTACAAACATTAGTTTGCTATATAGCACACTAATGTCAATGACATTACTATACAATAGTATTATTGTAAACAATTATGTTTATGCTTATGTACAAGTCATGGCTGTTCTGACCTCGATAATTAAATAACTTAATTATTACTATTTATGGTGATTGACTACAAACATCTCCAGATATATTCTAGGAAACGTACAGATTATTTACATACACATCGTATAACCAGGTTTTAATCATGACTCTAATGTACAACCTATGGTACATTAGGGAATCTTATTAATCAATTTATTAAACGAAAACTTTCATGCCTAAAACCAAAAGAATCTTAAATATTTACCACATCGTAATTATATCTAATTTATATAAACTTACTTCGTCGTACTAATTCAGAAAAAAAGCTATCTACTTGTGGGAGAGTGAAAATTTTTAGCACGAAAGGATGGATATTGTGCGTGTTAAAAATTTCCACTGTCCCACAAGTAGATAATTTTTTTCTGAATTAGTACGACGGCTTGACCTTTTATGTGTCCCATAATAATCGGATTCAGCATTAAATTGGAACCAAAGCGGAGCGTGTTAAATCTCTTGCCTAACTTCTTAACCCATACATATCATCCTGCGATATCACCAGTACAGACAATGAAAATTTAATTTGATTTGATTTGCCTGGAATTTATATCCAGGCAATCATATTTTAATCTAACTTGAAATTCCTAAGTGACGTAGCCGGGAAGTCAAATTTTAAATTGTCAGCAATCTATACTTGTGCAACAAAATATTGCTTCACTTCACTTCACTCATTTTCATATAGAGCGAAAGCCTCCTTCACTCTCATCATTCCTGACACATTAAAAGAAAACTCCTTCCTTCCCTTCCTTCATTTTCACCTTTAGCTCTTTCATTCCCTTTTTTTTCTTTCATTCTCTCACTGTCATTTTATCATGTTCAATCAATCTCACGTTACTTCATAAAAAATCTCAAGTTACCCCCATAAAATCTCCCTTTCACTGCTTTATTTCTCATCCTTACATCTTTCATTTTCATTCGCGTCTAATCCCGCTTCACTCGTCATCATTCTTTCGTTGGTGGCTTGGTCATCCTTCACTCTCCATCATTCTCCTTCACTTCCTCCACGCAAATGAAGCCATCATTTGGCCAAAATGAGTGAAGCTGCACAGGTATGCAGCCATCCTCTTCCTCACAATAATTATTATTAGTCATTCAATCGCTCAGCGCAATATCACTGGTTACAATGAAGTTCACATAGGTGAATTTATATTTACACTGCATCCCCTAAAATTTGTGGGATCTTGCCTGAGTAGAGGGTTTGAACCCGGGAGTGTCGCCGGATTACCGTGTGTTCCTGGGGTGTTGTTTAAACTAATAATTTTGACAACCCACACATCCCACCGCGCTCTCTGTACCATTGATCCAAGTGGCTTCTTGTGCTTAGAAGAAGAGAATGGTTCCGCCTCGTTGAAGGATTTCAATGCAGATATAGATGAACAAGACTGGGATTGGGAGTGTTTTCCAAATACGACTATCTGCATTTTAAAAGTTGGTACGTGGCCACGTAATTGTTTAAAACTTGATGGCGATGCTGCAACCAGGGTTAAAGTCTTGGACTGCATGGACGGAGAATTACAATTTTGGTGGGTTGAGAGGTATGTTCTAGAAGAACTGTGAAAATAAAGGGAGAAATTAATATGTCTGATGTAATATGGAACAGGAATTGGGGTTGTATTTCCCATTTCGGATCGGCGGAGGTATGAAGTCTTACCTCACTTGAGTGATAATATAATAAAAGATTTTACCTAACCTCACCAATTGACTTTACTCTTGACTTTAGTTAATATCTCGGGCCTAATTTGCTCTACGGAAGGAATTCATGAATTCTATACTAGTGTGCAAATATTTATTTGGCGTGCATTTTTCATTTTCCTGCACTAAAATTTACTCAGAATTTCCAATATTAGACTGATTAAATTGAGAATTTGCAAATATGTACTCAAATGCATGATAAATATGAAGTAAAAATTAAACTTTGAAATATTCACTCATCTTACTCATCAGATATTACATCGGAGGCATGACCCATGCGTAGTATTTCAAATACTGTTTGGTCTTAGTGTATTTATGTAAATAATTCCTGGAACTTTTTCCTTGAAGTTTTGTTGTCATTGGTGAGGCTCAGAGGATTTCTTTAGCAATTATGTCAATTCTCCATCCGCAGCATGAAATTAGATATTTTCATTTTCGTCGGTACATTCCAAGACGTAGCGTTGGTTTGTTTTTATTATTATTATATTTTTTTAAAACCTTGTAATTCATGAAACTGCTCGAAATTAGTATCGGGATACATTTCGTGTCAGCGTAGTCCAATCCTGATCCGCGACAAGTGGCATAATGCACTAAAGTTCTTAAATTTCAATGCAAATCAACTGACATTTTAAATGCGACTTCCAAACGTGACTTGTATGACTCGTATGTTGTTCACACTGAATCCGTAAACCACACTGATGTATATTATGTGTTTCCTACGAATGTCTATGTAAATTCACAGACCAAGTTGTTTAGTGTAAATATTTATCTAATTCTGGCGCAGATGTTTTTGTATTTTTTAGTAAATGTTTCACTTAAGTTTTTACCAGCATCGTGTCATGGGTCGGGTAAGAAAATCACGTCAAAGAAAATCACGTCAAACTTTTTCTATGCCTACAATTTTGTAGAAAAACCAATCAGACCAGAAACCCAAGTTAGAATAGAGTTTACCCTCAACAGAGATTAACAAGTTAAAAGGTTAGGTTGGGTTAAAGGTTAGGTTTTAAATGTTAGCAAAGTGGGAAGCGAATTATCTATTTAGTTAGATTGGCTAACTAAATTATAAAATTAAGTATTAAACAGTTCAATCATTTGATGTTCCAATGGCACCAACTACAAACAAGATTTTCAGATCTATACACAAGATATATATGTATAATGCATATTTAGAAATTTCAGAATGTGTGTGTCACAAAGGGTCAAACCTTTCAACGTTGCGATTGAGAATGACGGTCACATGATACTGTGTTTAGCTAGATTTTACATTTATTTAAATTCAATAGCGTCTCAACTTCCGGTGGCAGGATAATCACTGAAAGGTTTAAAGATTTCTAAAATCCAATTACACATTTACTACACTGAAAAAAAGTTGTGTTAAAATTACTCAAAGCTTAGCAAAAAAAGAGGATGACACAGCTAGTTGGTTAAAATGTATCCAACAAAAATTAAAATTCGTCCCACCTTGTACTAATTATACCCAAGAAGTTGTGTCACCCTCTTTTTGATCAACTTTTTTGACACTGTGAGCGACCTATATTTTATATATGCATTTTACCACATCCTTATAGTGGGTGGATACTCTTGTGTGTAATTAAAAATCAAATGCAACATAATTAATTTTCCAGGCGAAAGTGCTAAATTGTCTAGGCAGGTTTGCAGCTAAGAGGGTGTCAGGAATCACACATCTACAGTGTGACTTTGTTATTCATTTAGGCTTTTTAAATTCTCTAAAAAATTAACAACTGGGTCGATTTTGATATAATTAAGTTTGTTTGATAGTGTATCTACATATCAGAAGGAATTTTGAAACAAGGTTTGATTTTTTAAAGCTTATTGGATTTTTCAGTGAGATTTTTAATTTTTTTTTGTAAAATTGATGAGTATTTACCCAAAAAAATTGTCGCCAAGTTGAAATTTGGATAGGATTTCTCATGTTAAAATTTGTTTTTTTTGGGAAAATGCCACCTCCCAATGTCATCTGGATCTGATTGACCAAGCGGTCATACAGGCAATTCTTGACGTGATTGATTGTACTTTGGCAAACGCAGTTTGTTTGTTTTTGCGAAGGACACAAGTATAGCGTACATACAATAGGAGGCAAGTCACAAAGATTACATATATTGAACGATAAGGTGTAGGGAAATATACTTGTCCAAATTTGGAACATTAAATACCCAAAAATTTAGTAGAAATATTATTACATATTTTCCAAGATAATTTAGATTGTAAAGATTATCATTCTAATACTGTTTTTTAACTTTTTAGCCCGAGTCAGGGCTTATGGAACCGTCATGTCTGTCTGTCCGTCTGTCTGTCCGTCTGTCTGTCCGTCTGTCTGTCTGTCCGTTCGCACGATAACTTTAGAACGCATTGACCGATCGACTTGAAATTTTGCACACACTTGAACAGAACATGCAAAACAGAACATGCAAAATTAGGAATCAAGTTCGAAGATGAGCAAAATCGGTCCAGTGGTTGACCGGTGGGGGTCATAGGTCGGGTGGGGTCAAATATCAAAATAGTCGTAGGAGGCTGAAATTTGGCATGAAAGTTGGTAATGGCTTCTAATGGAAGAATGTGAAGTAAATTTTGGAAAATTTTTATCCTAACGGACCCAATAGGGTGATCCATACTGATTTTTGAAAATCGCCCAATCAAGCTGAAATTTGACATAGAGGTTGCTAACGGCTTCCAATAGAAGAATATGAATAGAAATTGGAAAAATTATCTTCCTGACGGACCCAATAGGGTGATCCATACCGATTTTCAAAAATCGTCTAATCGTGCTGAAATTTGGCATAGAGGTTGCTAACGGCTTCCAATAGAAGAATATGAATAGAAATTGGAAAAATTATCCTCCTGGCGGACCCAATAGGGTGATCCATACCGATTTTTGAAAATCATCCAATAAAGTTGAAATTTGGCATTATACTTGCTAGTGCAACATAATAGAGAAAGATGAAGTAAAATTTGAAATACTTTCATTTAGAGGGCCGTAGGGGTAATCCATACCGATTTAAAAAAAAGTATCCTGTGGAGACGGAACTAAGTATGGGGATTACTATTGGGTAATATTGGAAGAATATGAAGTAAAATTGGAAATGTTTTCATTTTAAAGGACCCAAAGAGGTGTGACCCATGCTGATTTTCAAAATTGTCCAATTGAGGGGAAAGTTTGTATGAATGACATCTCATGGAAGAAGATGAGTTGAAATTATAAAAATTTGATGCAAAATAGTCATCTTTATCGATAACCACCTCTATAGGCCTGACTCGGGCTATATGAAGTCTGCACTGTAGGTTTTTTTACCACAATTCAAATCTGATCTGATGATTCTTCCGAATTTTTCCAAATTCGGAAGGAATTTGACATTCCTTGACCCAGATCTCCACTGATATCCTTCTCGGCACTAAATTAAAACATTTTCACTGCTGCGTGACCACCTTAATTCCCAGTTAGCTTACCCAGCACCAGGAAATCTGATGCAAATTTCTATCAACGTTTGTGATTTGGTCCCGGCGTTTTCGAACTTGAATCTTCGAACTTGATTCGTAACTGTGTCCCATATGCATATGGTGAAAATATCAAGGCGATCAGATAAGTTTAAAAAGAGTTATCTAAAGACGGATGGACGGACAGACGGACAGCACGAGTACATAAGCCCTGGGTCGGGCTAAAAAGTAATTTCACAGATAGGAAAACTTAACTATGGAGGAAATTTATACATTTGGCGCTCAAAATTTAAAATTATTTAGTTATTCAAATATTTTTCAACCATTTAAAATAATTATCTCAACCCGTTAAAGTTTGTTGATATGGCGAGCAGAAAGGTTGCAGTTTGCAAAACGGGTTATTCACAACCACAAAAATGTTTGACATGAGGGCGACTGTTCTTCACTATGCAGAAAAAATAAACAAGAAAAACATTATATAACAATACCATATAATATCAAGATATGATGAGACTACTGGAACTGAAAATTATAGACCGCCACGTTAACGTCCCCGTCTATAGCCAGTCCCAAAAACATCAAAAGAACTCAGCAAACTTTTACCAACTTTTATCCATTTCCGTTGATGCTGTTGCCCAGAAACTAAATTTACCATTATCAAGTGTCTGTAAAATCAAAGCTAACAAATTGTGCATTAAAGGATATGTAAAGAAGAGATTTCAAAAATACTTAGCAAATCAAGAATCAAGGGCAAAGACTGGTGCTCGATTTGTGTACATGACGACGCTTGAAAACGTTATAATCATGTTTTTTTATAGACGATAATTTTTCCCTCAAACGCTCCAACTGTTACAACATGCGGTGACTTCTTACAGACGGGTAGCTTGTATTGGATAGTTTTCAGTGAATCGATCCCACACACATAAACTTATTTTTGTCAGTACGAATCACGGTGAAGTGGACTCATTTATCAAAACTCGTGCGTCCTTCATCAGTCATTTAGTAAATCGCTTGATAAGAAAATTAATTAATTTCCTATTGAAATGAACAAGATAAGCTCCATTTCTCTGGAATTATCGTATTGTTGGTTTGGGATAAACGCCTCTGTGTGACGCAATCAGTTATAAACTACGTATGTGTGTAGATAACTATTATATAAGGCCAACTGGATTTGCTTTATATAGATTTTCTCTCCGCTGTTTAATAGGCGAGATTTTGTCGCAGTTCTTCAGTTGCTAAATAAATATTGAATTGTAAGAAAAACCACGAATTTATATTTATACTTCTGTGACCATGACTGTGAAATTGTTATTGCTACTCTATGCTGTACTTCTGTGCCCTGGTGAAGCACTTCTAGGCCCAAAAGAAATACCGTCCGGAAACAAAAGCCAGAAATCAATCTGCGGCGATATGGGTAAGTTTTTAACATATCAATACGTATCTATGAGTATAATTTTTTTCCTAATAAATCAAACTAGACTCCTGCTTTAACTCCTACTTGAACTTCATGTATAACGAGTTTGTCCCATGGACAGAGGAAATGGGATACTATCAGTATAGTTACCCTGCCCTTAGTCCAAGAACAGAAGACATTTCTGGAGGTCTAATTTCTGGGCAGTGTATCTATGAGTAAGTACTTTACTAGCATGTTTTTACAGTCTGCGTTTAAAGCAAAGGTTTATTTGCAATGAAGGAACGTCTCGATGAGGGGTATTTGGGAGGAGGTTGCGCCGGATGGTCTATTCTATTCGAATGTTCCCTCTGGAACATTTTCCTTCAGGTGGACCACTCGATATGAGGACGCCTACAATATAATAGGCCAATACACAGTTGTTAACGGCTCTGTGATAGGAACACCAATTGATCCAACGCCAAAAAAATCGTTTGGCGCTTGGTGCAGTTTTTATACAGCTTATAATTTATATTTTGGGTTTATGGTGAACCCCGAGGACGGATACATAGTCGTCACAAACGCGACGTATGACATCAGCTATGGGGATCCAACCAGATTATACGCATGCCTACCAGATTCTCAATTTGAGAACCTTTTCCCGGAAGATAATCCTTTCTATGCTGAGTTGTTGTTACGCCTAACATCACATGTTAAAAACCTCATGGATGGTGGATTGCCAAGTATTCCAACAGTTTTGATCGAGTTTTTCCGATATGCTTTGACGGTAAGTGCTAAGGAGGAACATACCCGGACTGGGCAGTGGGGGATTTTGATGCCCTTTGGATATGTTGTAGTACCCGATGAGTGTAGGAAAAGTGAAGGAGGGTTAAACGCACTGGGCCAATTTGCGCCCGCCACACCCCTTTGAAGGCGCGCCCCATGCTAAACTATCCGCACTAAAACCTTCACCAAAAATCCAATTTTGCTCGGATTTCCATAATTTTTACATATTCTTCATCCTAGATAGTTGCTTTATCATATCCAATGGCAAAATTAAGTTTTTTGAAATTTTAAACATTTTCGAAAATTTCCTGACATAAAAAAATCGAAATTTCAAACAACTTAATTTCGCTATTGAATATGATAAAGCAACTATCTCGGATGAAGAATATGTAAAAATTATGGAAATCCGAGCAAAATTGGATTTTTGGTGAAGGTTTTAGTGCGGCTAGTTTAACATGGGGAGTATATGGGGTGCGCCTTCAAAGGGGTGTGGCGGGCGCAAATGGGCCCAGTGCGTCTAACCCTCCTTCACTTTTCCTACACTCATTGGGTACTACAACATATCCAAAGGGCATCAAAATCCCCCACTGCCCAGTCCGGGTATGTTCCTCCTAAGTACACAAAACATTAAAGATTTTGGATATAAATACCCCAACAGATAAGCAGGGTTTCGGTTTGGACGTCCAAAATTCATTTTGGACAGACACTGTCCAAAGGTGTCCAAAACTGTAGAAATTAATTTCGGGCGTCCAAAATGTCAAAAATGGTTTTACAGTGGGAAATGGGGTAACTTGCTACAACTTCTTAATTATCGTTTTTTTGGCAAATCTATATGGAAATACAAATATGGATTCTACGTTTAATTTCAAGAAATTTAGTGGGTAATACCACGAAATTTGGAAGAAATTTTTTTAACATGCGTTCTTATGGGGAATTCTGAAATTTTCAAAAGTATGACCTATACACATCAAAATGGTTAAAATGTTTAGGAGATTACATATACATCAAGGTATACAGGTCACATATGGTTACACATACATCAAGGTACACAGATCACATATACATCAAGGTTCACAAACTGAACAATAAAAAACTTGTTTCATATTGCCCCATTCTCAATTTTTGACACTTTTGGACATTTTGGACACGAAAACTCAAGTGTCCAAAACTGGTCATTTTGGACAGTGGTTAAAACCAGAGCGAAACCCTGCAGATAAGTCAAGGAATCTATGGATGTATATAGTCATAAAATCGAACCTTTCGCATAGAGACTACTAATGTATATCGAATCCTCCTAGTCGTAACAAATCCAAAGATAGAGGTCATAAGGCTAAAGTGCTAGGTCACGAGTTATAATGTTTATAAATTAACAGTGCAATATGTTAGGGCTGGTACATATTTCAAAATTTTAGAATGTTTTGCTTTGAAGGTTTTAGACTTATAATTTGGTAATGCGAGTCAAATATGTACCATCAATGGTGATTCGCCATTATGACGGGCGATAACCTGGAAGTCACTTTAAAACGTTTAACTTATTATTAGTGTTTCGGATGCAAGTATGAGTACAAATTTTAAAAGAAAAGACTTCTCTTGGAAAAAGGTTAGTTGGCCGATCCCTCTAATGCTAAAAGCATTGGAAAATAAATCTATCGCCATTTCCTTAATTTCGATCCGATTTCAAAAATGAAATATGTTTTGGAAACCTTGGGCGATTTCGAGAAATATATATTTTCAAAATTTTTAAATTTGACCTTACTGACCTAAGATCAAGGTCACAAGGTCAGAAAGTGAATAAATAATATTCGTCCTCTAAAAATTGTTGGGGGTATTTTTTCGAATCCCCATGACCAGATAATATTCCAGATAACATTGTGGGTGATATCTGATGACCGTAATGTCACGAGATGTATTGTGGGCGTGGCCGGGGGTGCGGATAATTAAAAATACGATTTATTCATATGGGTTTTTGCATTTTATAGCCCACATTGCCTTCCAACACTACCAGGGTGACTCCCTCTTACAGCTTTGTCTTATTGGATTATATTAGGCCGCACCCACTGCAGTGGGTGTGGTCATTGGCGCTTTCGTTAGCACTTGAACAAACCACATAGTGCGACACGAATAATTTTTCAGGAATAAATGGGGGTTTCGACTATGACCTCTAAATGACACTAGCCACACCCACATTAAAAAGTGGGTGTGGTTTTAGCGCTTTGATCATTACTTAAAATAACCATATAGTGTCATACCAATAATTTTTCAGGAATGAGCGTAGATTCCAATTATAATATCGGATAGGAAAAAACCACACCCCCATCAAAAAGTGGGTGTGGTCATTGACGCTTTTGCCACTATAAAAATGAACAACATTGTGCGACACGAATTATTTTTCAGTGGAGAACGAAGATTTCAATTATAATCTCGAATAAAAAAACCACTCCCATATCAAAAGTGGGTGTGGTCTTCGAAATCTCATGGTTAGTTAAGTAAATTTAATTAAAAATGGTCGTAGAAGGCCAAAATTTGGCACAGAGGTTACTAATGGGTCCTAATGACCGAATGCGAAGTAAAACTTCGAAGGAACTTCGAAGGAAAAATTTTCATCTGGAGCGACCCTAAGGGGTGTCCAATACCGATTTTTACAAATTGTCCAATTAAGCTGAAATTTTGCATAGAAGTTGCTATTACTCTCTAATGAAAGAATGTGAAGTGAATTTGCGAATATTTTTATTTGAAAGGACCCTATGGGGTCACCCATACCGATTTCTCAAAATGCATAAATTGAGCTGAAATTTGGTATGGTGGTTGATAATTCCTTGAAAACAATTAAGGTCAGATTTAAAAAATATTCCCCAGAGACCGGAGGGGGTGACCTATACCGATTTTTAAAAGTTAATGTTTTTTAAGCTGAAATTTGGCATAGCATTTGTCATGCAAGTATAAACTATGATTATGAAGTCAAATTAAAAATATTTAGATTTTTTCTGTATAAATAACGTTCACAAGATTGTATTTATAACAAACCCTGGGTCGGGCTCCGCGGAGGTGTACTAATAGGTTTTTCTACGGCGCTCGCAGAAAATGGGATGTAAGCGAATTAAATCCACACCCTTTATATGATTATGCTTTAATTTTGCAAATTAAGTTTACTTGGCCTAATATAATTAGAACCTCTGTTGGCCACGCCCACATTTTGGTTGATGTTCTTAGTAGTACAGGGAAACCAGAATATGTGTTGAAGTACGTTAATTCTATACTAGTATTGATCGAAGGTATTTTTTTGGTTCAATGTGATAAAAACAATTATGACCACACCCACTTCAGTGGAGGCATGACAGACCTGTGCTCTTGTATATCGGACATTAAATTTGAACTCGTCTTCACCTCAGGAATAACTATTTGTGTCGCATGACCACTTTAATTAAACTTACTTAACTAACCATGACATTACGAAGACCACACCCACTTTTGATATGGGAGTGGTTTTTTTATTCGAGATTATAATTGAAATCTTCGTTCTCCACTGAAAAATAATTCGTGTCGCACAATGTTGTTCATTTTTATAGTGGCAAAAGCGTCAATGACCACACCCACTTTTTGATGGGGGTGTGGTTTTTTCCTATCCGATATTATAATTGGAATCTACGCTCATTCCTGAAAAATTATTGGTATGACACTATATGGTTATTTTAAGTAATGATCAAAGCGCTAAAACCACACCCACTTTTTAATGTGGGTGTGGCTAGTGTCATTTAGAGGTCATAGTCGAAACCCCCATTTATTCCTGAAAAATTATTCGTGTCGCACTATGTGGTTTGTTCAAGTGCTAACGAAAGCGCCAATGACCACACCCACTGCAGTGGGTGCGGCCTAATATAATCCAATAAGACAAAGCTGTAAGAGGGAGTCACCCTGGTAGTGTTGGAAGGCAATGTGGGCTATAAAATGCAAAAACCCATATGAATAAATCGTATTTTTAATTATCCGCACCCCCGGCCACGCCCACAATACATCTCGTGACATTACGGTCATCAGATATCACCCACAATGTTATCTGGAATATTATCTGGTCATGGGGATTCGAAAAAATACCCCCAACAATTTTTAGAGGACGAATATTATTTATTCACTTTCTGACCTTGTGACCTTGATCTTAGGTCAGTAAGGTCAAATTTAAAAATTTTGAAAATATATATTTCTCGAAATCGCCCAAGGTTTCCAAAACATATTTCATTTTTGAAATCGGATCGAAATTAAGGAAATGGCAGTAGTTTGCATCCTTAATGCTTATAAGCATTAGAGTGATCTGCCAGCTCATTGTAGAGAAATTATCATTGAGCAGTCTTTTCTTTTAAAATTTGTACCATAACTATTTACATACTAATAACTACCACAAGAAATAACCACAAGAAACTGGTTTCTTGCTGTTATATTTACCCGCCAGAAATGCAAGGAACGCAAAAAGTGCAAGAAACCACTTAGTTTAATGGGCGGGTCGGTAGATGCCGTTGCATTTTGTGCACTTTTTCTGGTTTTTACCAACCCGCAAGAAATGCAATTTCTTGCTTTGTACTTCAAGAAATAATGCAAATTCGCAAGAAACGAGACACTGATTATTACTTGACGGCGAAGTGAATTTGATGCAAAAGTTGCACGTCAAGCAAATTCGATGCCAGGATATCTGAGCACTTAAGGCCAGTGTCATAATTCTATCTTTAAACTGCACAACCATAAGGTTTGATTTGTCACAACTTAATCGGCACTTTTCTAAAAATCTCAGAATCCCCTTTTTTAAAGCTCATAGCGGCCATATTTTGAATGAAACCCTAACCCAAATATTTATAAGTTAGGCAATTGTTACGAGTAACTCCTGAATAAAATAGGTGACGTTGACTCTTTGAAAATTTAGATTTCATTATGCTTATTCTGTTTCTACCTAACGGAAAATATGAAAATCGTTTTTGAATTAAAAAAAACACTGCGCCTAATATGTTAAACTCATTCGAGTTTAATTAGCTCAACATAAAACACTGTTTCTCCGTCATTTTTCACCCGCTTTACCAGAAATTTGGAAGAGACATTCCTAACAACATATTTTTTGAAAAATCAATAGTCTTAAGTTCCCCGAGATATAGGTAATTTAATTGTTATAGTTTCACCCAGTCCGTTTTTAAGGCGAAATCTCGAAAACTAATTTTTCGCGTGGTTATCAGGATATGATACGGAATGGTCATATTTCAACCTCGACCATATTTAGTTGATAATTGGGGTGATTGTAGTATAAAATCCAAGACCTAAGGAGATATGGATGCGATATGCAATTAAATCATTTATAATACCCATGTCTCGCGGAATTTGACACTAAATCATTTTTCTAAAAAATATTCGTCAGATGTCAGGGGAGCGCTGTCAGGAACATCCTTTCTAAATTTGAGGTAAACGAGATGAAAAATGACGGAGAAAAAGTGTTTTATATGAAGCTAGTTAAATTCGAATGATAAGAAGCCTAATGTGCTATAAATAAAATTCAAAAGCTTTTTTCATATTTCGCATTAGGTAGAAATCAAATAGCAATAATAAAATAGAAATCTAAATTCCAAAGGGTCAACGCTACCTTTTTAATTCATGAGTTAGTCTTACATATGTCTATCGAAGCGTATGTATGCACATATTTTAATTACGTTGAAATGAAACGAGTGACCTCCTAGAGTAGAACTCAATGCGACGTGAGTGGGGTGTCTTCAGATATAAATCCGGCGGTTGTGATACTGCGCAAAGCGTTTCACTCATTTTCGACGATTTGTTTGTAACAGTTGACTTGAATTAATTGTGCAGGCGCATCCATTCGCAGACATCATCTCTGGAGATATTTTGCCCACCCCAACCCCTACACCAACTACACCGTCAACAATTACTCCCACAATTTCGCCATCCACCCCTTCCCCGGACTTGGGGTCCTTCAATTGTTCCGGAAAACCAAACGGTCTTTATCCACATCCCAGGAGTTGCGAGGATTACGCCGTTTGCTACGATGGTAATCCGACGCTGTACACTTGTCCTTCGGGTACTTTGTACTATCCCGCCCTTACATCATGTGTCGACCCTTCATTCTATGTTTGCCCCCTTACCTGCGATGGACGACTAGATGGACTTTACGTAAACCCGTATGGATGCGACTATTTTCTCCAATGTCAAACTCAATTCGTACAAATTTTCCAATGCGCGTTTCCTTTTCTTTTTGACCGCACTCAACTTGTGTGCAACTTTCCTCATCTGGTACAGTGCGACTAAGGAATGTATGTACAAGGTATGGTGAATTATGTGCGTATTTTAATTGAACGTATTTTAATTAAAAACTAGCTTTACTACTTTAAAAGAAATAAAATTTTCTTAATTCAATAATTGAATGAATACTGGATGTCAGATTTATTTAGTCCATTGAGCATTCGTGATGTAATGCGCTAAAAACCACTTGAATTTCAGTCCGCCTACAATGTTAATCAAATGGCATAATAAGTTTTGAATGAATTTGTAGTTGTTCGTTTTCTATCCTTGCCTTTCCAAACGAGCGTAAATTTTTACATCCTTCAGCGCGTCCATAATTTTACCCGAACCGTAGGCGGATAAATTGTTTTGAGAGCGGTCGAAAGCCACGCTCTGAGGATGTTGGATGTCGTAATTGGGTAATTGATTATTTATATTTGATAGTCGACTTATGATATTTTAAAGTCATATAAAACTGGAGCTCATTTATTGTTATAAGCATCAGGTAAAACTCGTCGTCAACCACGACAAGTTGTCATATGTATTGATATACACATTGAACGCTTAAGCGTTCATAGTTTCAATTGACCTTATGTTGATAAGGCGAGATAGAATATGTGAGATTCTAGCGTAAAGATTGAATTACTTTGCCCCAAAAACTATTTTCCCCACTTTTCCCCATTTTGCCCATTTTCCCCACTTCTGGCTAGGTGGTTAAAACCATTTTCCCCACTTATTTTCCCCAGGGTAAAACCCTGGAAAAAAGTAATAACATAATCAATTTATTTACTCCGACAAACCCTGAATATAATCATCCTTGCGAACTTGTGTCTTCTTGGGTTTCAAAAACAACTTGATTATTTTCGATGCAAGAACTTAAAGTATTGGATGAAATACTTAAATATTGATATCAACTCATCGATATTTTGGCTATGTGGTACCGCAACCACCTTAGGTTTTCCTTAACTATACATACATTTCAAAAAAAATATGTACAATATAAAACCAATATGGATCGATATTTGTTCATTTGTCTGAAGCCATACATACACGTAACCATTTCTTCTCTTGCATTCCCAAGCTAATAAGCAGATAGACAAAATAGTTGAAAATGGCGACCCCACTAGTTTTCAAATCTTTACAGAATTTTGTCACTGCTTTTCACTACTGTTGGGCGTGTCCTCTTGATTGGAATACAACGCGGAAGGAATTTGTCTCCACCACGTCACTGAATTTGCTAATTCCCTGGAGAATTGTTGTTTTCGGCCTCATTCCCGCAATGTTTGTCCAATGCGTTGCTATCATTCTGTTGAACATCTATGGGATCATTACACCTCCGTTGAAAACTTTGTTACTTTGTAGCATCTTAGGAGTTTTAACGCTTCTCGGGATTGCGGTTGAATTTCTTGTCCTCCTGCACGCGGAATCTCTCCAATTTGGTTGCAATTACATGATACGGATGGCGAAGCGTGAAACGAGGGGTACGTGATCCAATTTCACAATTTTTTATTTTAGCTTTCTACAGGGTTTGAAACTTCTTTTCTTATTTTATAAATAAATAAAAAAATCAGAATAAGTTGAATAATTGAACAAGATTAGTTTTGTTAAGCTCATATTGCATTTAAATATGTTCAACGGGTATTTGATTTTGTTTCAGTTGTCCCCGGCAGAATAGATCAACTCGGGCTTTTCTTGAATGTAAATGTCGTTGTGTTTGCAATATATCCGTTCTTCATTACCCCACTTATACTCTATTTTAAATTGGATCCTTTTTATCTCTTTGGCAAGCATGTTGGTAACCTGGAGATAAGTACTTTACTAGGTTGCCTACTCACATATCCACCTCGGCTTCTCCAGTTCCTCTGTATATTTCAAGTTTGCCGCCTCTACACTCTTCTTATTTGCCTGGTGTCACTAACGGCAATTCTTTTAGTCAATGAGCTCCATGCTTTGGATGTGTTGGCATTTTTAACCCGGTTTTCTGGACGTAGGACAGATTTACAAATTAAAAAATATATAAACTTGGCAGTGATGTTACGGCACACAAATGATTTTTTCGCCAATATAGCAGCCATACTGATGGGATCCGCTATAATTTTGTCGGTTCTGTTCAATTTCATGTCAATCAAATTGTACAGCGTTATCCCGATGCCTCTTTACCTGTTTTTTCCATCGGTTGCTGTCTTAATTCCGGTTATTGCGGATACTTTGATGCCACTATCCATTAGAGTTAATGAAAAAGCCCAAAACCTGAAGGAGAAGTGGAGCAGAAATTTCGTGCATTCTGCGGGCAGAAAATATCTCCGCAGAAAATTGATGGGTATCAACCCCTTGCACATTTTGTGTGGGATTGGGGGATTTAATTTTTTGAAACTTATAAAATCAACGAAAGCCTGGTTTTACGCGCAGATACTTAACTACTCTATTTCTGCCTTGCTAACAGAGCCAGGTCATTGAGATTGACCTTTTAAAACAGGTTGTCGTTAACCTGTTTCATATTACCGCAGTAATATGAAACAGATTTTATTAAAAACCAAGGTTTTTAATAAAATTTGTTGAATTATGGGTTCTTCTCAATTGAGGGTGAAATAAACTACTGTCTTTATTACACTAATTCATCTCATATTTATAAATAGTTATATATAGTTTATTTATATATAGTTACAAATAAAATAAAACGCCTATGATATATACATGTATATGCTATGTATGTATGTAATTCGAAGGGTAGACTGGCCCGACAGCCAGTCTGCGGCGGAAGATCATTTAAGTCTTATTGCCGCCTCCCCTAATACACGTGCTAGTATGGCTATCCTACATGTGTCCCCACTGATATATGGAGCGTAATGAATAAAATCGAGCAAATTCTTTTGCTTGCATATTTCCGAGGAAAAGGTGAAAGTTGCATGAATAAAAAAAAGTGTCAAAGGTCGTGCTTTTTCCTCAAACTTTTTTGATGAGCTTTAGCTCAACCTCGTCCAACTCTTGCTCAGAGTCTGAGCAAATCTTACGATTTCAAATGAATAAAACGCTTGGTTAACCTTTCACTCTCAAGTCTTTCCTCAAAATTGTTGAGTCAGCTGAGGGGGAGCCTCAACTTCTAAAAATATCTATAAATACTGCTCAAAATGGAGTTGTGGGGTCCGAATAATTTTTTAGTTAGACGCACAACGGTATATAAACCTAAGAGAGAAACTTTGGCAAAGGATTATCGCAAATTATACAGATTTGACGAAGTTAACGTGGAATGGCTTGCGTCACATTTCTTGCGGGAGGATTGGGATAATCGTGGTGGGGGACTTTCTACCAAACAGCAAATGCAATTTTTTTGCGATATATGTCAGATCCTGGGTTTCAAAACGATGTGGGGGAGGGTATTGGAGTAGACCAGTCCACAGTGAACCAAGTATGTGCAAAAGAACGTGTAACAATCGAGAGGTGCTTTGGTCAGCTTAAGATGCGATTTCCGATCCTCCATTACAAAGTCAGAACCAAACTTGAAAGTGTTGGGAAAATTATCATGTGCTGCTGCATACTCCATAATGTTGCCAAATATCTGCAAGATGATAACAACTTCCCAGAATTGGAAGATGACAGCCAGCCTGAACCGGAAGTGAATGGTGTACCAGAGGGAAGTAATGTAAGACTTGCCCAAGTTTAACGTGCAGAAATTTCGAAAATTTTATATAATAATCGATGATAAATCAAACAGTTTATTTTACATGGTTTGGTTTGATATAGCAATTTTTTCCTTTAAAAAATGCAACACCTTTGGAATATGAAACATTTAGAATTCACTTCAGTTGGTAAAAGCGTTAATTATGTATTAAATTAAGTCAAACTTAATTTTAGATAGATTCAAAAGTTTTAAAATAGGGGAGAAGTAATAATTTGACTGGTAGGAGAGTGGAAAAAAAGCAGCTGAGTGCAAGAGAAAAAATTCACTCCAAGAAAATGAGCAAATGGTGGGTGAGCAAGAAGTGAATGCCCCTTGCTCTGAGCATTTGTTTATTCATATGATTTTCACCTTAACCTTTCACTTTGACCTCTTCCTCAAAATCCAATGCTCAAGCTCAGAGATCTTGCTCTCGAGCCTTGGCTTGTTTTTATTCATTACGCTCATGATCATCACCTCCCCATGCACAGTCCCATACTCACTTCAGATATGGTTCACTCATAGTGGTGTTGATGAGCAGTCAGGATTCTGCAGGTATTTAACAGGCTATGGATAGTGAACGAGACGCTGGACCCCCTATCCCCACGTAACCTGTTATACCAGTCTATGTTCGCCACTCACCACATAGTGGCCCCATATACGGAACAGAGAAACACAAGTAGCCACACCATCCATACCTGACCATAGTATTTGCACCATTTAGTATATGCCCCTTTGGATGCGAAGATTGCTATTGATAAACAATCTGCTCTATCCACTCAACAGTATTACATATATAGCGAACTAGACTACTGGGGGGGCAGCCAGCTTCTCCCAGAGCAGGTACCAGGTGGACACCCGTCCCTGCTCTTTGGTTAGGTCATAAGTGCTTAACTTGCAGTCCGTTTATAGGAACTGAAGCCAGCACTTCGCCAACATGTATATGCTAACTCATACATTCATAATAAATAAGTAACATCGTAAATTAACCTAAATTTTTTTATTAAATACGTGGAAAATCTTCCTATATATATTTTCAATACCCTCCTTGGTGACCCTTTTAGGGATTATGCAATTTATTTCATAAGGCATGTGATTATATACTGCCCACGCGGCATTTTTTAATTTACTGCGCAATTAGTTCAGCAACGTGTTAACTTTTATTTGTTAGTGAAAGCTTATTTCAATAGCTAAGAGACACTATAAACAATTTTTTTGAGAATGACCAGGAAGCAGAAAAATAAGGATCAAGGTAAAATATCCGCAAATGGGAGTTTTGCGAAACTACAAAAAGGTTGCTGGATTTGACTCAAAGAGGACCCCAGATTAACTCAAACTTCAGAGGAGAGTCCAAACAAAAATCCACCAATAAATTTCGATGTATAAGGATTCCGAAAAAGTGGATTTCAAAAAGAATCCAGAAAGACTTCGTACTGTAGTCACCCCATAAAAATTAAAGTCCATGAAAAACTCTCTTCCTCCA